TCGTGCCATCGTCTCATGGTGTTTGTGACTTGTCCTGAAGAAACTTGGTGCTTCTGTTAATGGTCACTCATCTGACTCGCTGTTCCAGCTTACTGCTTTTGCTTGCGAGAATTCGCTTTATCACTGATATTTATTAAACAATGTACAGTCATAGCGTGTAATAAAGAGGTTGCTTGGCAAGTCCCGTAGGATGATCGAAGTAAGGGATTATAAAACGCGCTTTTAAAATGATAGAAAAAAATAAAATTAAACTTTTTGGTGATTCACCGTTGTTCGAATGAACACACACTGGTCTCCTCACCGCTACCGTAACGGAGAGAGTTGGAGAACACACTGATTGGTTTGCGTTACTTCGTCTTCCCATTGAAACATACTATACCACCGAATGCAAGTGTGATAGTGTATCGTCAAGGCACTTTTTGAAAAGCGTTCCTATGGGGGCTAAACTAACGTGAGTTGGAAGAGAGTTCCATCTTACTGATATCCGGAGGTTACTAGATTTTGTCGGCAAGTTTGACCTGGTGGGCTCTCAGATTAGTGTTGAGGCTGAATTTCAACAGATCGCAACAGGTGTGATTGAGTTTCGCCATAATGGGGCCTCCTCGCTGACGCAGATATTCACCACTGCAATGGGTTGCAGTCTGCGTTGGTAGGGGAGATGAAACAATCCCGTAACCAATTTGGCCACCCTTCGTTGTGGTGTTTCAAAGCATCAGTGTCGTGTTTGCACCAGGGAGGCAAGAGTTTGATCGCGCACTCCACATGAGATTTCACTTAAGCTTTCAGCATTTGCGGAAAGGTAGATGCTTTGAACTTTCCGAAAGCCCTCCGTAAAATTTCTAGATGCTAACTGGCTTTTCTCGATGCTTTTCAGTCTGTTTCGTGCAGCCAAGTTCATCCTGCATAATTACTCGGAGATCGCTTTCCTGGGGTACAGGTGGCACCCGTTGTTCCGCAAGTCCACATCCACAGATACCTTGATGGCTTATACTCACCACGTACTGGAGCCGGTTTTCGAATGACTACGTATAGGCAATGTCGAGATCTTTTTTGCAGTGTCGTGTAGTCGTCCACTGCACCGATGTGCCAGATCTAGACATCATCTGGTACCTCCAGAGTCTTCACAAGAAATATTCTCTTGATGAGTTGCGCATTGTGTAGATCAGTTCGGTTAACTACCTGTTGCATCTTAATTGTATCCTTTTCGTGTCGTTCAACACTTGCACTCAACCCGAGACCATATTTTTAAACATCATCAAGGAGTGCAACCTAGTGACAATGCTTGAGGCGCTGTTTTTCCACTGCTGTCGGTTGAACTCACATGACTGTTCACAGGTATCTACACTGCTGTGTTGCTGCTATGCTGCAACGCAAGACTTTTCGATAGAGTCTAGAGAGGCTATGCAACGGTAGGGACATCCGCTTTTGTTAACAATCAACTAGGTCGTTCACCATTTAAACCTGCTTTGATCCGTACATTGCTTGCCCTATTTCGACGGCCGGCTTATTTCCCACCCGTTGAAAGCACCAGTCTAAACCATTGCATGCACTTAACACGCAGGTCTCAAGTCTCACGCAACTTTGATCCACACGACAACTCTGCGTCTCCTGCTTTTGTGCATCATACCGATTGCATCCGTTCTCGGTTCCGGCAACACTCCCTTTTAGTCCCTACTTGGTGTGGCCCATCGCCATGTCTGAACTTGCACGCTTGGGGCTTGCTACTGTGATGACAATCAATCCTCGTCATCCTTCCCTTCCATTTTCGTAGCTTCATTGACTTTGTGTCTGGTGTATGGCATGTTGTCAATGCTCGGTCGAAGCCCAACACCAATGATCCGTTACGTTGTACTTGACAGTTGTTAGCAGTGATTGTCTCTGTATCCTGTTATCTTTCTAGTACCGAAGGCTACCAAATTGTATTTGTCATCGTTGCGTTGAACTGTATAGTTTCTGAACAACAAGCTATGAGCCACCCAGTACAGCTAATATACAGGCCGAGTCGTTCAGATTTAAACTCACCTACGGACATTTTGGCGTGTTGTTTAATGTTCAAATCTGAATACTGGTTGGGTGTTAGAAAGCCGTGAAGACTATTCTTGCATCTTGGTGCAGCAGTGCATCTCCTGGACAAATACGAAGTTTAAACTGACACCTCAATAACCAACCCAGAGGCCCGAGTATTTCGAGATATTGAGAGGACAAAACGGTGGAGAAAATAATCTAACTTGGACCTTACTAGTTGAGGCGTCAAAGCCTCGTAGCGTCTTTAACTGTGCTGCTGTTACCATCAAAGTTAACAGGCAGCCTAGCTCGGTTGCCTGAGGAGTGAGGTCTCTGTCTTGGAAACCCAAGATCACAGTTTGGCACATATCTGCGTTCCATTGTCCATCGTCAGGTTGCAGACAATATTTCCATTAGGTTTCAGTTACGTATCATGCTGGTTTTGTTCTCTAAGTGCTCTTGCCCGCATTGGTGGCTAATCCATGGAAACCCGTGTCCGTTCTGATTCCAGACTGATTCTGGAGCGTTTGTCAAGCTGGAGAGACTAACCCTTCCGTGAGAGCGGTCTTCGCTTTAACTGATGTTTCCCCCGGTCACTATTTAATTGTGTTGTTGTACTTTCTTCTGTAGCGGTGCCTTTTACGGTCTTTCCGGCGAGGTTTAGAGCATCTGTGATGCTGGATCATCTCGTCTTAATACCATTTGGATGCGGTCAAAATTCCTGAGGCACTCTGGGTTTAGGTTTTTTAGCGAGTCTTGCATCTCATTGGTATAAAATGAGTTTGCTCCATCTTCCTGTCACCCATCTTCGGGCCTATACAGCGCTAGTCTTTGGTACTCAGTTATTGAAGTTTCGTGATTTTATCCTGTTCAGTGCTACGCGCACGCGTATGCTTAGACCGAACGGAATTGTGCCTTTCGATCACTCTACGGAGTGTGAAACTCCTCCACTTTCTCCATCCGCATCGACATAATTGGCGAAATCAACTGCACTCAATACTTTTTGTGCATCTGTGTTGCCTATTTGGGCACCAACTTGTCCCATCGCATGTCTAAATCATTGCCTTTAACATCTCAGCAAAATTGATATTGCAATGGAGTCTGAAAGGAACAAAACTGTTAAACGCTCATGTTGCGTAGTTACCGATTTTCGCGGAAGCAGGCGAACTTTTCTCACGCTCTCTTTATGGACCAATTTTCGACCCTTGTCTCCGCATCAACAGCAAAACTCTAACACTTTCCTCAACATTCGATTGCGTTGTACAAAAAGACCGGGCCACGTAATCAGTGGGTCTCGAAAGCTCGAGAGATATAAAATTTATTTATTCACTTAATATTACTTCCATTACTTTAACCTGGTGTTGCGTCTACCAAGGAACCAAAAGTCCCACCTCCATTGTATTTCATCCTCGTCAACACTTTTTCTGCTTCTTTCAACCAGCCACAACAGCATTCGGTGAGTTTTGCAAACAATCCGTTGATGCATGTGTTGGGTAACATTTTACTTTCGACACGGGTTTAACCCAAATAATACACCAACCGAATGTTCCCAAACTTCTTGGAGTTCATGACTACCCGATCGGTTCCAAACACATCTCATCATTTCGATGCCTCAACACTGATCCTATTTGTTTTTGTTGCAGTCACAAAATGTTTTGCAGAAAACAGCTCCATCTGATCCACAAGAATTGACGTTTTGCTTTCGTTTCAGTTGTTATGACGTCCCATCTGCTACCGTCGTCCCTACAATTTCTCGGATCCACCATTGGTATAAATTAAAAACACATGCCAATATTGACAGCTAGTGTGGTAACCCACACGTGGCCTTCCCACAGCGAAACATCATTTTGCTTTTGATTATCATTTGCCAATATTTCTACTCTCCGCATTGCGGTCACGTTCCGCCGGTCGCTGGTTCGCCATACGACCGCCCAATCTGGCTCATCTCCGAACATCTTGCGATGACGTTTCTATTTTTTAACAGGCCTGGGTTGCTATACGTCTCAGTCTAGTCCATTTAAACAACTATGCTCATCCGGCTACCGAAGTGCAATGGACTCGGTTGTCACTACTCGCGTCGCTAAGGCAACTTTCATTGCTAACAGTGAAGTGGACTGTGTAGAAATCGGGTACAGCATAAGGAACATGGTCGCGAAGATTGAGTAAAATTTCTAGAGAAGGGTGAGAGAATTAGCAGCTAGCTGCAATAAACCGAGTGTACGATCATCATTGATTGCGTGCCTTCTTCATGTCCGATAGGGTCCTTTATGCCGTCCATCCGGAGGAATGCACCAGCCTGATCAATTTTCTCGGTACATGTCTCCTTCCCATTATACAATCTTATGAACTGGCCACCTCACCACACAGCCAACATCGAGCACATTGCAGCGTTGTCCTCCCTACTTTTGATTGTCAAGCATGCCTTCTGCATACACGATTGCGCCTCTGAAAAGACACACAAGCTTTACAGATGTAACCAAGTTAAGTTACCCAAGGTCCATAGTTAGGGAATCCATCGACCATTTTCAGTAGCTGTTCGTGGCTACTTCAAATCGGCAACGACGGTACCTTACGAAACACGCTGAAGTGTGCCGTATTACTCGTCGATTTATTCAGTAGCGCTTGCACAATCACTGCATCCAATCCAAAGAGATCCATGTCGTCCGCATGCCCGTAGTTTATCGGTTGGTTACCTGTCAGAACTTCCATCCCGTACGAGCTGAGAAGACAGTCATTTATGACCATTTCGATCCCATGGTTGTCCGTTCTGTTTTAAAACAAAATGAGGTTTGTTGCTGCTTGCCGTCCCACGCAAATAATGCTGCCATAAGTTCTTCGCTAACATAGTTCACCTATTTCCTTAAATTACTAAAACAGTTCAAATGCTGCAAGGCCATCACGTCTGTTCATTAACTTGTATTACTTGTCCCCCGCCGTACGATCAATACTGCGGACAATGCTTCAGTTGATGATTGATGAGACTTGTTTTGCTCCGCATCGAGACATGCTGTTTAGCCGGTGGGCACAGAAGCTCTCAACTTGGCCTCCATATGACAGCTGTTTCCCATCTGCATCCAAATCAGTGCACATGAGGTTTCTGAGTGCAGTCGAAGTCTAGGCCTTTGACCTTTCCATCCCATTGGAGTTTGCGACGTACCATTGGTCTGCATCCACTCATTTTAGACAATGCGATTTTCGCCAGGTAGCCAAGTGGTCCAAGCGTCTGGGTGGCAGTCCACAGTGTAAACCCGAAGGAATAAGACCGGGAGGCTTGTGGGTGGGAAACACGTTTCACCAACGCAGCCGGCTCGCACTCCTTCAACATGCACAGCAACAGCATTCCTGTCTATGTGGGGAATCATGTGTACCAGAAGTACACAAGGCGCTTGCTCGTCCGTAGTCCGCTCCACCCTGGATGGAACCACTCTTTGTACCTAGCAGATCCACGAAGGCCGTGCACCCCGTCCCCCCAGCGATGGCTATCAGTCTCCTGGACCCCGTAATCGAGATGGAGTTCCGTTCAGTTCGGTTGATCAATTATGATCCGCTCACCGAAGTGCGGTGGATTCAGTTGCCACGACTCACATTGCAAGAATAGCCATAACTAACAACAGCAACTTAGTGGGGCTAAAACCAAATAGAACGTAAAAAATTGGAAGTAAGAAGGTGTGTTAAACTAATCAGGATGGAACGAAAATTAACAACTAGATGCAAGAAACCGAATGCCGGAATGTCACTGACTGCGTGACTGCGCCATGTCTGATGCAATTTCCAACAATTGGTGTAGACTATCCCGGGGCCCCCATCCACGACGACGACACTCACCCACCTGACCAAGTCTCTCAGTCAATTTCTTCCGGCCACTATACCACCTCATTGACTCACCACCTCGCGGTTTCACCCAACTTGGTGCAGCCGCGACATATACTGCGCGCCGAGGAAGCCGATCAAAGAGCATACGGAAGATATGGCCTAGCCAGCGTAAGCGATTAAATCGAGGTGGAGAGTGTTGGACAGGTAGGCCGCTTGTCAATATTCACATCAAGCTCGCACATCGGGGATATTAAACAACATAGAATTTGATGGGAAATGAACACACAATATTGACGCGGAATATGCAGCGGAATAACAGAACTGAAAAAATCAAATAAACTGGAATCCTTTTAATCCAGCTTAAGATCTAGTTTAAGTGTAAGTCGATGTCAACCTGATGGAAACCAACGGAAGGTAACAGGTACAATTTTCACAAGAAAAACGGAGTGCTTTTTGCACGTTTTTTTCAATTTTTGAGCAATGGTATCGAAATAATTATGCACACAACTCTTCCACTGGTTTCGGTTTTGCGATACATCCTGTAATGTTTCAAGCTTTAGCTACTGCTCATCACTTAGTTCCCAACTATACAGGCGTGTTGATCCAACTGCAGCTAATCAGCTATTTCATATGCCTTTGCTTGATGGACGCCTGACTATCGCATGGTCTATTACAGCCTAGCGCTCAGATGGCATACACAAGACGTGGCCGAGCCACATTACCTGGTGCAGCATAAGCAACTTGAAGAAGTCAGACACGTCTGACTTCACCGCTGCAGATACATGGTTGCCATCACACACGAGCAATCCTTCTCAAGCACCAATTCTCGAAGGGTGATAGCCGGCGCTTGTCATCCACGCGCATTGACCACGGTTCGTATTTATATAGCAAAACCGCTCAAACAGAGGTATTGTAAACCCGGTCCAAGTGGGAGACATCCGAACGCCCCCACATCTGTTTCAGGTTGCCAAACGGCAGCCGAGCTTTGTGCTGCAGAAGGAAATTACCTTGTTGACGGCGCTACCACCAGACGCGTAGCTGCCTAGGTAGACAAAAATACCCACTTGTTCAAGCTGCGTACTTTCAAGAGTGAGCACGAGAACCGGTGAGCACCAATCCCGGAGCAACACCTTGCACTTCGAGGGGGCGAAGCGCATACCATAATTACATATTTCAATCGCAAACGGTTCAGAATGGTTTGCATACTCTGCGAGTCGTCACCGAGTAAGGCGATGTCACCAGCATAATCTAAGTCGGTCGGTCGCCTACCCGGTAGTATGTGCAAGTTCACAGTTTGCCAACCTTCCAGAGCTCTCGACAGGTCGCCTTCAATCGCGAAATTGAAGAGGGAAGTGGACATCAGGCATCCCTGTCGTACTCCGCTATTGACATCGAAGGACCAAGGAATCTCACCATGGACCCTCACTTTGCCAGAGACATGGAGGTAGAGTGTGCATAGTATGGCAGTGTACTTTTCCGTCACCCCGTTTCTCAGCAAGCAATGCCATAGCGCAGCTCGATCAACCGAGTCCAAGAATGCATCACGGATATCTGGGAGGATAACGATAGTAGGCCTCTGGTAGAGGTGGCAGTGTTCGAGGATTTGGCGGAGCATAAACATTTGATCCACACACCCACGGCCAAGACGAAACCCAACATGTTCTTCCCAGTGATGCAATTCACGAATGGGGATAGTCTACGGAGTGGAGTAGATGCCAGTAGCTTGGAGGCAACTGAAATCAGACTAATCCGCCAGTGATTGGTACGTGAAATGCGAGCACTCCTCTTAAAGTTTGGGACAATAACTGACTCACCACAGGCAGAAGGCACCTAGTATTCATGCAAGATTTGGGCGAACAATGATGTTAGCTGGTTGGTGATAAACTGAACCTCCATACTTGAACAGCTCTGGAAGGAGTGCGTCCGAGCCGGCAGCCTTGAATCGTTTTGAAGTGTCCCATTTTAAAGCAAACTTCCGGTTTGCTGACTGGATCAAGTGTGACGAACCAGGGCAGGCATCTGGGTTCACAGAGCCTACAAGTGGACGATGAGGACCAGTTGAACTGTGAGTGAAAATATTCTGCCAATCGATCCAAATGTCTCTGTAGGTTGGCAATCGGTGAACCATCCGCTTCGCAATTAGTCTCCACAGGGTTTGCTGTGGCTAGGTGATCGGATGAGCTATAAGAGCTTGCGAATATTGCCAGGGTGGGTAGTGGCTTTTGTTTCCGTAGCACACTGAGACCATGTGGCTGCCCAATGACAGAAGGATGTACTTCATTATGATTAGACTCCGCTGGGATATCTCTGCGGCTATCAAATCAATCCAGAGAGCGCGTGAAGATCCATGCCATAGTTCGCTGTGTAATACCTTAGACTAACTGCTCTGAAGTGATCATGGTCTTCTGCATGAACGTCCAGTGTTCACCAGTGTCTTGTGGTGGATCACAGCCGAGTTTGTCTGCCAGAGCAGGTTGATACTTTAGGTGAACAGAGGAAGTGGTTGGTCTATTTGTATCAATGTTGCGTTGCTTCGTTTTCGGAACCTTACGAAACTTATGCGGATTTTCGCAAGGGCCTGAGTCAAGAAATGTGGGCTGTGTCGATTTGCACTCCCTACACTACCCCCCCCCATCTGCAACTGACTGCAATGTGATCAATTTGAGACCCCGCGTGCGTTGCTGAAGGAGAGCGCCAAATGGCGGAACGTTTCCTCGATTGCCTGAATCTGGTGTGAGAACTCTCTCTCCAATTATCTGAGCGGCTCTGATCGGGTGCATGGTGACCTCCGAAGTGATTTTCACTTAATGAAAGACGACCGACCCGTCCATTGAAATCCCCAGGATGGACAACAATATCGGATTTGCAAACTCGACTCAAGTGCTAAATCTTAGTCGCTTGCATTGGCTGAAACATGTCCTCTGTATGCCCGTTGAACGGCCTCCTCGGCGTGCATTATACATCGTGGCTGCACCAAGTTGGGTGAAACCGTGAGGTGGCCAGTCAATGACGTGGCATAGTGGCATGAAGAAATTGACTGAGAGACTTGGTCAGGCGGGTGCGTGCCGTCTTCGTGGATGGGGGCCTCAGGATAGTCCACACCAATGGTTGGAGACCGTGTCAGACATGGCGCAGTCACTTAGTCATTGGCATTCCTGTATTCGGTTTCTTCCATTTAGTTATTAATCTTCGTTCTATTCTGATTAGTCTAACGCATTTCCTTCTTTCCTCTACTTTCTCTACATTATATTCCCACCCGAGCCCACTGTTCTATCGTTATTAGTTATTGCTATTCTTGCGATGTGAGTCGTGGTAACTGGACCCACCGCACTTCGGTGCTCGGATCACAGTTGTTCAACTGTAATTAAGTTTACTGAGACTAGACTAAATGCTTTGTTGGACTGCGTTGTCACTGGTTGCGTGTCCACTGTTCACATCGATGTACTCACGTTTTCACGCTATAGCCACACGGTATACACTCACTCACGCCTCCGATTCTGCGACTGGTACCTCGCATTAATTACATTCATAACTTTAGGAAACCGTTAGAACGACCTTCCTCCATGTTTCTGTACCTCCACACCCCAATGGTGTGCATTGTCTGTGTGCATCGTTACCCCTTACACCGCCCACCTGTGGCGGGCACATTCGAGCACCCCAAATACTTCGGCCGCCCACGTGTGGTGCACTTGTGTTCCAATGCGGTTGTACGCTACCCCCGATTGGTTGTGTTGTGTCCAGTACGGCAGCACAGTGACATGTAGCCCTTGGTGTGCAACTTAACAACCTCTGTTGCTACTGTCTACCAGCCGACTGACTGGCCAACCCAGCAGTGGGCAGCATGATGGAACAATGACGCTTCGGCCGATCGACAGCATGTCATCCGTTTTGTGCATCCTCCGCAGCGTATTGCATATAGTGGGCACTGGGCCGTGTGCATCCTCTTGGACGAATGCGCACGCATCGGGATAATGATTTCGCATGCCGTAGGTGGTTGCGGAAAAATCGGTGACGGAAAGAAACTTGTCCGGTTGTTTTCAAGACACTGTGCGTTGCGCAACACACTCGGTGTGCGTTTACACTCTGTGTGTACTGCGGGCGTCGAAACGTCTTGCCCTGTCGAATTAGCGCCCGTTCGTCCAACTCGCTGCATTCGAGCGTCTCGTCCAACTACTTGTGATTTTATTCTTCAACTTAACGCTCTGGCGAAATTAATCAAAGCGCGCATTTATTCTTCTCCAACTGGGTCAGAAGGCCAGTTCACCGGCTAGACCCTTAGCCGGTCAGCCGATCGACGGTGCATCTCTTAACCGTTCAACTGCTCGGCCCCAAGTCGTCTCCATTTCATCCGTTTCTGCAAGTGGCTTTAGTGATAGTGTTCATCTCACGCCCCCAAGTACACGCCTACCTGATCCACTACAGTGTATTCAGCCCGACGGAGACACAAAAAGAACACCTCAGAGGAAGAACATTATAGTTGCCGCATCAGTTGAATCAACTGGTGCTTCTTGCGCCGCCCCTTCTGCGCCCAATTTTTTGTCACACATTTGTGTCTCGAACAACACCGTTGTTCCAGTAATTGGCGCCTGGGTCCCGTCTGATTCTAAACGTGTACGCCGACCAGTCTCGAGGCGGTTAACACAAGCCCCTGAAGCAACTGTTTCCCAGGGCGCACCAATTCTGCCCTGCTATCGGGCTACTCACAAACCTTTTGCAGCCTCAAACACCGACGTATCTCAGGCGAGTTCTGACCCCGCACTCATCGTCACTTCCCCCATCTGTGTTGGCCTCTTGCAATTCATCCAAGAAACTGATGTGGTCCTAAGTCATATCACACCGTGGATCTATAATATAACCCTTTCCGAGCAAATTTCCCGGAACTGTCCACCGGTATGTGTCCTATCTAATTTCTTGTGGATTGCCCCTGTCTGGAATCCCTTATTAACCAACTCCACACAAGACACCTTTCTCCCTACTGCAGAACTACCTTCCTCTGTGAACGTTTCAGTTCCTTCTATTGGCTCACCTTCTGTCCATAAGATAGGTCGCTGTGCTTTCGATACACCAACCTCCTGTCGGAAAGCCCTTTGCGTTTATCCTTCTACTGGACCGTTTTCGCTCAAGGGTTCTTCCCTGTTCATGTCAACCTCAGCACGTCCTCCTCGTATGCCGAACGTACCTAGCAGCGGTATTGTCCGCTCTGGTACCACTCATGCTATGACCGGTGTTACTCCATCCACGGATAATAGACCGGTACGCCTAGGAAGTGTCGCTTCTCGAGAATCTTCCTACTCTCCCCCCGCGGACCGCAAAGCATCTGGCACTCGTCGTCCCAATAAAGGGGCTGGTGGTGTACAACCAGATGAAGTCAACGCCGCTTTGCTTCGAAAGTTGGAGAAAACCGCTTTGTCCGCCGTAAGTTCTGGTCACGAATCAGCTCAGGGGATGTACAATGAAACCGATTATCTTGATGTTCAGAATCCTTTTGAAATTGATCCCGACGACGATGATGATGCCGATAACGAAGGTGTATTACTATTGGCCAGTGCTTCTCTTCGTTTGCCTCCTCACCAAGCTCATCTGACACAATCTGACCATCTTCCTTCATCATCATCCAATGCTCTTCCGTCTCCCCTCAATCGGTTACTACGGCTTCTTTCTTCCGGAGCCCAAGTGATCAGTTTGAAACCAGTTCGAGCGTTCAAACCACCTTCTCCTTCGGTGCCTTCACCGAAGATTCCCGTTGTTGAGAAATCCACTCAAACCGATGGTCATATAGTTTGCAAGGGCTGTGGAGCTAAGTTAAGTTTTGCTGCTCCGAAGAAGACGTACATCGCTTCCAGCACCACTCATCTTTCTAAGAAGAATGTTCTATACGTTTCTCTCATTGAAATATTACCTGAAGTCATCCCGCTTTCCAGGGGCGTTTCTTTGCGCCGTCCTAGATCCTCTCTGGCGACTGCTCCAACCGCGATATCAACACAAAGCGCTCAAGCTACTCGGTTCCGATGGCCTGCGGACGGGGAGATAGTAGACTGTGTCGAAACGCTGCCAGACAGTCCGGTCGCCGTTTTCATCTTGCCAATCTTGTGTGACGCCATCACATCAGCTTGCCCTCGTTTCTCCAAAACCGTGAAATCTGTCATTGGAATTTGCGTGACGCGTACGACCATTTGTGGTCCACATGCCCCTAGATTCCCTGCTGAGTTGTTCAAACGAACTGTGAAGATGGCTGCTCCGCTTAACCTCCAGGCTAATGGCGTCTCAAAAGTGCCCGGTAAGGCGGCTACAAGCACCGTTGCAGACGAGGAGTCTGATGAAGAGTCAGACGGTCGGCGTCTTCGAAGACATCTTCGCCGAACACAGAAAACGCAAGAAATCAATGCAGCCATGATCACTGCAGCCATGCGTCAAAACGAGTTAGTTAATATTCAGGAAAATGGACACCGACAATATCAAATGTGTGATCAAATCATGAATGAAACAGGTACCTTCCGGGATTCGGCGAACAGTGGTGTAGATGCTCCAGATTCCTCTGTCACAGAGGCCATCACCGAGACTGAGATGGACCTGCAGCAACCACCCTCTCGTCTGGCTGAAGCTAGACAGCGTGCGAAGAAGTTAATCGAACAGCGAAAGCTGAGTATGCAGGAACACACGACCACTGCTCAAACGGACCAATTTTCAGAGGTAGGTACTTGTCTTCTTATTTCCCCTCATCACTCTCTTGTCATTTGTTCACATTTTATGTGCGATTATTAATGCAGTGGTGTTTGTTGCATGTCTGATACTTATTAATGAAGCAGGATATATATGGTGACTTTAGAGCAACTTGATAATCGTTTTCACTTGTTTCTTCTACTAGCTGGTTTTTGTTCTTTCGTCTTGATATAATGACCAGCGCCTGTCAAATCTCTACGAGAATGTAAGACCATTCTCCGATTCTTCTTGTGCTGTGTGCACACACCACTGACCACATTTTTGCCCTCATTTACGGTATCTCACGCGGCAGTCGATGTCCCCTCAGTCTCCACTGGTGGTTTTTATTTTCCATACTACTATATCGCATCAAATGTGCTAGACTTATTCACGGCCCTACCGTAGCTTTCATTTTTGAGGTGTACCTCCAGATCGTTTTTGGTATTGTTGTCCCTTGTGCACACGGATCTCCTGACAGACAAATCGACCTTGTTGAAAAAGTAGCTATGGAGATAGAGCCGATATTCACAGAGCTGCGGCATGAAACCATCTGTGTCAATTTGACAATCTAACTGAGGTCACAAAACATCCTGAATCTTAATTATGACATCAACTTTGGTTTTACTATATGACTGGACTGCATGTGGCCGGTTTTGAGCGGATCTTCATGAGAATGAACCTTCTCATTACTGCCCTGCGGGTTAGGCCATTGGGTTAAAGGTTTCGTGTGGCTTCTCCCAGGTAACTTCTGTTTTTCTCGCTACCTTTTGCATTTACAAAGTGTTAGAATTGTGATAGTCCTCAGATCAAACGGCTCTCAGCATAGGTACTGGAGTAGTGTCGTCTGTCCGAAAGACCATGTCCTCATATTCTTTTGTTGTACTGTTTCACATACCCAAAATGCGACGCGGTTTTCTGTGGTTTTCCAGGTTTTCACGTGACTTCAGCTCGTTGATTGTTTCAACGGTTTTTCAGTCTATCTTTGTGTGGTCTTTTACTTTAGTTGGCGTAAATTATATGTATTCTTTATGAACCAGCTTGGAATCATGTATGTCATCTTACCGAAGCATATTCTGTCACTGCAGTTGAATCATTTACATTCGCCCATACTTATGTTGCGCATCTCATGTTGATTCGTCCATCTTATGCGTTCTCCCGATGGTTTCCGAATTCTCCCGATTTTTTTTCTTTGAATTAACGTTGGTTACATGTCACTTATAGCGATGTTAGAGACGTCATATGGCTTTAGAGTGAATGGTTACATTACTGCTTCGAACCGGTAATGGACTTTGTTTTGATAGAGTTTGAAGGCCTAATCAAAACGGACTCTGTCTGTCGGCGACCGAGAGCATGTCTTAGAAACATGCGTCTTATCTGCATCCCATCTCACACTGTGTTGCATTTTTCCACTAGCAAACCAATTTAGTACACTGATAAACGCGTTTTGCGAGTATATGTCTGCCAGTACCGCAATCCACTTCACACTTACGGGACTATCAGTTCTCTTCCTGTAACACAATGATTGTCATTTTCGTTAGGTTCAAACAGTTACTCAGAAGACAGTAGAATGCACTAAATCAATTTACAACTTTCCGTCCATTGTTTCGACCAGTTTTCGTCGCCGCGTCGACCAAAATCTACCATCATCTGATCTGTTCCCACACATGTTTCACGTTTAAACTTGATCCTGTCTTGTTCTTTTGTATCGCATTGTTGTTGGGCCTTCATTCACCGGCATCCACTTCCGTTTCCTCTGCTAACAATCACAGGTGAATGAGGATGGCCGTGCAGACTCAGGCGTGGTCGATGACGTCGACGGTCACCTTGTCTACAGTATCGGACAGATGATCTTTGATCGATGTAAGCTACGGGTAATCGAATATCTATTTTCCGTCACTTACTGAACGAAGTATGATTGCCCCTTTGAGGCTCATCCTCTTTTCTATTTGCCTGCTTCTACCTCTGAACCGGACATCGCTTCAAGTTTTCGCCATCTCTCTTTGACCATTGTCTATAATGTTAGTAATGGTAATACATCGCTTGGATGAGTGATGAATATCTTGGCGTGTGTGCATTATTCTCTAGTCGGGGTGTTTTACAGGAAGCCATCCTCACATCCGCTGTATTTTCCTTACACATTAAAAAGCTCCCCTTACCATCTACCTTTATTGAATGCAAGTATGCTGATGATGTCGTATTGGGATGCGTGACTTCAACCGATTTGACATCTACTTTTCAAAATTGTCTAAATAAGCTCGTGCTTCGGTCCACATCCCGATTCCTGATTTTAAACCCTTCTAAATGTCGTGACTTAACAGTCTCGTTTCTTCGACATGACAACTTGTTTTGGATGCCACTTCTCCAATCGCGATTTGTGATCAGTTCATACCCAGATCGTCTAGTGTTAAATATCTAGGGGTATTTTTATCCCGAAACGCTTTCGAAAGTTAGACGGTTGTCATTTTATGCTCTTAGACTTAAAGTACTTTCTGTACCTCGTGATTTATTTCTTAGATTTGTGACTACACGTTCCCCTGTAATCTTCCCTAGTTTACACAAAAAGGACTCGACATTGATTTTACGGTCCATAAAGCTTATTTTCAGAAGCAGAGGATTGCCTAGGAAGTCCCTTGTGGACTTTATTGTCAACGAGCACCTAGTCGCTTGTACCAGATTTTCCTCCAAAATTCTAAATGACCATCTTGATGCACTACATTGTGACCTTATAAAAACATTATCTATTTCCTCTACCCGCTCAAATTTTAGGATTTATCTTCACGTACTGCATCTTACCGAAATGCTCTGCTACTGTACATGTCCTGCTTGTTTGTTGACCCAACCAAAACTACCAGTATGATGCGAAATTATTTGCTCGATTGGGAAGTGTTAATATTTTCACGCGTTTTATTTTTTTCTGTAACAGTAATTTCATATACATCACCATCCGCATTGACAGTGTGACATGCTGAAAATACCCCTACCCGGATGCATAAAGCTTACTTTGACTTGTCTTGACTCTGAGGTTAAGGACTATCTTGTTTCCTTTACCGGAGCCGTCTACTAATATCCTCCACTCTTTCATGCACACTCACTAGCCATGTGTCAGCCCATTGATGCAGAATTTGTGACAGTCAGTTTTCCTACGGTTTGTGCTTACTTGTCTACATTTGAACGCCTCATCCCCGGTCGAATTTAGTACTTATTGGACGAAAATGTCAGCCCATTACGCGACCAGTAGCCAGTCTCTGTGATGCGCGCTTCTCACCATGTGCCAGTATGCGCAGAAATCGAATTAGCTATTTGTGAGAATCTGAGGCACCTGATGAGCCTTTGATCACATCGTTGCATGTGGAGTATTGCTGGTGTCAGGTGATACCGATGTGTCCCGTCGGACTATGTGCGCCAGTGATTACTAGACAGTGCTAATCAGATTAGCTTGTCTGAGCAACAACTGACGTCGCTTTAATTGCATTGACCTGGACACGTGTTACATGTGTTCAGTCCGTGCTTACTAACGAAGGCCTCGTTTTGTATGCTAATTGTCGGATGCCTCAATAATGGCAGTACATCAGCCAATTGTACTGATGCTATGCTACTCGTGTAACCAGAACGAACTAGCTAATGGGGAATAATAAGAGAGGGCGAAGAGTGATCTGGTGTAAAACCCAAATGCCTTAGGCAAACACTTAGGATCAAGGCACCCACATCTTGTCAACAACCTACCATCGCAAACAGCTAGCCAGCATGCGGGCATAAAACGGGGTGCCAGAAGGTCTGAGCTGGGTAAAATCTGACTTGGCTGCGAGAAATGGAAACATTAATGAATAAACTATTTTATGTTTACCCGTTTGGCCTTCTAGACTGTAATGGATGCTACCCTCCTTGTGCTTGTTTCGAGGCTTTACATAACTTGGCTGGCAGTCGGCATCAGTGGTTCATTTGATATCGTACGTGAGTTATCTGCGGGCTAATGGCTGATTACGATGCGGGACAGTGAAAACCGCAGTGAAGCTATCTCCTCAATAGCGTCTTATAAATAACTAACTAGTTGATTTTAGGCAGTGCAAAGCACGTCTGTAAAAGCATGATCATGGTAATACGAACATGTATGCTCGGCAATTGCGCAGAAGAATTACAGGTTAACCAGTAACATATGTGTATGTATGCGTGTAGTTGTTTGTGTGTATGTGCAACTAGTCATGTTGAGTGAGTTTGTTAATGGACTCTGAATTTGTGGTTTTGCTCACCGGATTCTTCATCGCAGAAAGATCAGAAGGAGACTTTAAATTGGTTGACGTACGTGATGTGTGTAACATCCTCTGGAAAGGCAAGTAGCAATGACTTTATTTAGTGGCAAGTCACATCCGCCACGTCGCAGTGTTTTTAGACAGACATTTGTGCTTTTTTGTAGGGAGTACGCTTGCCAATCGGAAACCCATCACGTCTTGGAACACTGCCGCCGAACCATCTGCTGGAACGGATTAACCCGAACCACCCAGCTGGCGCCGCGAGGTTGTTTGGCTAGCCAGCCACTTCGCGCATTAGTCAGCTGTTTGTGACTGTACATTGTCGTAGGCACCATGACCATCCAATTACGCTTAGCTTGTGCTCCAGGTCTCCGTTTTTTTTCTTGTTAGATTTCATTGCCTAGATCTTCATAGTTTTCTATCACCGAGGTATCCGTTTAATTTACTAACCTACTGCTGTTATTGTTACCGGGGATACTAGACCCGAATATGAATTCTGATGTTGGGTTATCCTTCGAACATTGCGATTTGTCTGCAGATGTTTTGTTATCAGCGAAAGTAACATCATTACATCTGTAAGCGACAATTCGCTTGGAAGTTTTGAGTGAACGCATTTCTACCGGTTTCAACAAAACAACACCGGGACTGGAATACGGTACTATTACAAATAATTAAAAACAACAGTATACAATACCTCAACCATCTGTGCTTCCGGCACAGGCGTATCAAACAACGACAACAGCCCAAGATAGCCAGCACGCTGAGCTTCAAGTTCACGTAGCATAAGCTCATCTCATTGTACTGTGGCTTCAACAGGAGTACACGTGCCCAATCGGAAAAGGTTGCCGTGAAACGTGGCCTTCAGCGAGTGCCTTACACGCACACACACACACATCGTGATGGTGATGCAAGCGTTTCAATTGCACATGCAGGAACATTTACAATTGTCCTGATGGACGAGGTGGTCTCATGTATGTTAACTCTACTCACATAATCACTCTACTGGGTCAAGTCACATGCGATGTGAGGAATGTCTTGCTCACCAGTATCTGAATACCACGACGAGGGAGTTAAAACGGAACATCATAAACTGATAACATGAGGCGAAGCCACATGAATCGACAATTAGGTCTCTTTTCAGAACTTGGAAATATAGGTCAATGTATGCACGGTTGAATGCATGTCATCTACGTGTTTAATGTGCGAATAAACTTAACGGAACACAATCTCCATTGAGAGCCAGATAATTAAGCTCGGTTGGGACAGGGAAAGGAGTTAAGTAAATGGCAAAGGGAATCACAACACGAGACAGAGAGCGTTAGGTAGGCAGAAGAGGATAGGACGTTTGGGAATCTTTTACACTATCTGTTAGTGAACAGACAAACATCCTTCGAAATCGAGTCTAGCACAGACACCGACCCTTTTTACTCCATCGCTATTGCTACCGCTTGCAGTTTGAATGCGTTTCTCATTCCTCTTGATCCGAAAATATGCTTCCTTCTACAACCATATGCCAATCTTTTTTCTTGAATTAACCCCAACTTTTCAAGTGTTGCGTTTGTTATTTGCCTAAATCATACATCCCCAATGCGTATATATCTATGGATCTTAATACAGCCTCATCCTCATTCCACACGTTGGCTTAAGGTAAGCTATTGTGCTTCAACCCAAATAGTATAATATCCGAAAATGAACGTACAAGATAGAAATAAGTAATATTACACTTCCTCATTATTGCAGATCGGTAATGGCATCGTGGTTGGAGGAGCTAAACGGGATTAGGTGAGACAAAGGAACTCAACGAAAACTCCGTTAAGGTCGGCTCTTCGCCATGTCCAAATGTGTTCATCGTATTTTTGGGCTCCAAACGAGGCCACTTTCGAAGTGGGAATTCTCATTCCTCCTGACCAACTTGTCCGATGGCTTCCCTACTTTTTCTTTCATTCCTTCTCCCGTCCGTACGAACAACAACGTATGACGCGGTGGGGTGGTATTCGCAACGCATAGCCCGGCCATTAGAGCCTGGTATTGCGTGATATAATAATGCTGAGCGAATCACTCGCTCATCCAGCACCAAATATACGCGACGCTGAACACGCGCATTGCTCATGCTGTCCCCACCAGACATGAGCTATACTGCGAAGGCACCGGTGGTCAAACGTATTAGTCTTTTTATGTCTGTCAGGTTTCAGAACCGTCCAAAAGGATTGAACGGATGGCTGCATTGTACGCTTCAGGGTGAGGGTGATGATATCGGGTCGTCACCAGAAGTGGCGAATAAGTGGCAATCACACACCTCGAGTTTACTTCTTAACGACTTGTCACTTCATCTGGCGCTGATACAGGCACCTGTAGTTGGGTTCTTGAACGACCCCACCATGGGTCAGTGCAACGATTGTACCCTGCCATTTCTGTAGGAAGGCTTCGCATCTCAAAGATACAGGGCAAAACTCGAACTGACTAACAGCCGTTGCTGATATCTGTCTAGTGCTGTTTGGCACGTTTATGAACCGTCACAGATTATTGCAATATCGTGGGCATATATGCGGCCTGCTAATAATGCCTCGATGATCTGCGGTAAGCTGGGTGGCGACTGCTGCTCTCCGCATAAGCATTCTTGACAGCAAAACTCGTTAACACTTCTTGAAGGAGTACTGGCCTATATCGGTCCCCCGAAAAATGTCAGTGCACTTTTACTACATACATCACTATTGTTCTCTCTATCTTTAGATGAAATCGTGAAGACCTTGGGCGAAGGAACGTTTGGAAAAGTAGTCGAATGTGAAGATCGTGTGCAGTGAGTTCAGTTTTCTCCACTAGCTTACCGTTGATGTCGGATCCCTGAGCACTCTGTTTACATTCTGCTTTCATGTACTATCCAATCCTTGCTTTGTTGATGCTTACTTTATTATAAGTGATTTATCACAGTTACATATCTGGCAATGCGACCTCACTTTAGTCCAATTTTTCATCCTCGGCTTGCTAATGCTGCATTTTTATCACTGTCGGTCCCAATGTTGTAAACGAAGGGCATCACAACTTCAACCAAAATGCGCCCAACACAATGTCCCCAACAGTCGGCTTTGGAGATTCCTTATTGTGATGTTCGCATAAGCACCAGTCATCTCTGTATTTGTCATTTGCCATTGGCCCTCAAGCGTAAGCGTTTCTGACTGCTGTTGTCGCAGTTGACTGCTGCGGTTCTGCGACTCCTATTCTACATCTGAATATTGTAAGGGCAGACTCGACGTTTTATTTTACGATATCGGCTTCTCAGAGCGACGGCTCATGTGGGTGGCAATTTTCGACCTAAATTTTTTCCACCTCATTTCACTTGCTGACCCATGTACAATGAGTTCACGCTGCCATGGCAACAAAAATTATCGACGTTAGTATGAAAGTGGTAAAGTAAAGTCCTTGATGAAGGTAACCTGGGTTGGAATTAACAACGTAAGTTCGAGGGTTTCATCCGTTTCTCTAGTACACCACAAACTAACTCATCTGGGGATGCGATACGCACTAGTACACTGTTTTTCGGTTAGTTCCCGTCTTCTTTTTCACGCGATCATTTTGACTAGTAATACGCGTCCAGGTAAACGGTCAGCGA